CTATTAATTATCAATTGATATAGCAAATAGTTCAGGTTATTAGTACTAATTGTTCAAAAATTCGTTATATCAAAATTTACTTTATTATTTATATATGTCTTCATTATATTACTGTATAGCACTACATACAGTACTACAAATATTTTACAAAAAAGCCAGTTTAAATTGAATAATACCCTTCAAATATCGAGAGATAGAAGAAATAATACAGATAATCATTACTGATCACTATATTAAACATATCAAACCAAATGAAAAGATCGCAACAAATCGCTTGTAAAAAAAAGGAAGAATACTCTTCCAGAGGGTACTATATGCAGTGCTATACGATAAGGTTCATTATATCAAGTTGTTATATCGAGGTTCATTATATCGAGGCTTATTATATCGAGTTGTTATGTCAAGGCTCATTATATCGAAGCTTATTATATCATAATATTCAAAAAAGAATAATCAATTTGTTATTATTAATCAATTTTTTCAAATTCAATTTGTAATATTACCTTTAGATCAATCCATTTATGATTACTGAAGAGCATAAAGAATATCTTTGGGCTTCAAAAAATTATTCTGGTGTACCTCATTATACTGGTGCATTTTTGGATGAAGAAATCATTAAGATTATTAAAGATATAGGCTCTGAAAAGATAGCTGTGATCGTGTCTGATAATGCAGCAAATATCTGTATTGCACAAAGAATACTTTGTGAAAAATATCTATATATTTTGGACATTAGATGTATAGCATATTGTATTAATTTAATTACAGAAGACTTGTGCAAACACACATTTGTAACAAGTGCAGTTCAGAAAATTGGTGTTATTTATAAATACTTTAAAAAATCACATGCCGCATGCCAATTTTTGAAAGACGCGATTAAAATTCTAAAGATTAAGGGTGGTGATTTAAAGGATCATACAAAAACATGTTGGTCTACAATGTGGGATTGCATTAATTCAATTGTGTAACTTGAATTTGCTTTTGTAAGAGTAAAATTTTTTTTTTATATTTTGTATATCAAATCGATATAATTATCTTTGCAAAACCATTTAAAGAGACAGTTAAATCAAATTAGTTTTTAAATAGATTTGTAAATTAAAAAGTTGTGTAATATATATAAAATACTACAAGCTTTAAATGACCTCTCTTTAAAGAATAATCTTGTTTGAGTTGCAGACATATTTATATAATAAGACCGTAATGATAATTTAATTATCCCAATAAAAAATTTTCTAGTTATGTAGTAACTATGTAGTAATAATATGTCTACAACTAATCTCGTTAATGCATATTTTTACTCTAATACTAATAAATTATAAAATTTAATTTGGCATACGTATATACGTACGAAATTTACATAGATCCTTTTAGAGCATGAGGACAAACTTAAAACACAAGTTAAAGACATTCTTTGCAATCAAACTTTTTATGAAAACTGTTGGCTTATTGCATCTATTCTATATTCTCTTAAACTTTTTGTTGGGTGTCTAGAATCAAAAACTTCTAATCTTGCTGATTGTTATATCCATTTAATATTATTAGTAAATACAATTTTTCATTTACCAAATCACAATGTATTATTTAAAAATTACTGTATTAAGAAGTTCAATCATCGTTGGGATGAATTCTCTAATGATATTTATCTTTTGACTTTTTTTTGCATCTGCAAATTTTTAATTATTATTATTATTTTTATATATACGTATATACGTAAGTAAAAAACTTTACTAATTACACTTTTTCTTAGACAACAGTGTTGATTTAGAGAAATTTCGTAATATTAGTATAACAGCTAGACAAATTTGGAAAAACATGGAACATGATTAAGAATCATGCAGCAATCTATTATCCCAACTATAAAGATATAAAAGTAAAAAAGCACTATTTGATCAACCGTACAATCCTAAATCAGATACACCAATTATTTGGTGGAACACTGCACAAAATAAAAAAGAAGAATAGGAATTGCAAGCATTGGCACTTCGTCTTTTTGCAATAACTCCACATAGTGCTTCTTGTAAGCATTCTTTCTCAGTTCTTGGTTGGTTTTATGATCAAAGATATACTAATTTGGCTACAGAATGGGTGAAAGGGATGTGCAAATTACACACCTTTTATATTACTAATGTGAAACAAGAATTACTTTGTTATGTAGTTGATGTATGTATAAATTGTGTGCCAGATTAGTGCCAGACTACCAATCAGATTTCAAGATCAGGTATAATGTTACATGATCAGAAAAATTCAAAACAAGCTAAAAAATTGGGTATTTTTCAAAAATTCACATAAGAAACCACCTTCTATGCTTTAATTAAAAGTTTTTCTTGAATGATTTTACTATATTTTCTGTTAATTTTTAACCTTAATACAAATTC